GGATCAAAAAATTCAAAACCACCCTTTTTTCAAAATTGAATTGAAACATTAAGTAGCAATTAAGAATTATGCTTTTTTTTGCATCAGTTTTTCACACGAGGTTGCTGTAACCTACACGTAATAGAATGCAATGAAAACTGGAGGTATCTTTCGAAAATTTTGAGACAAGATCAGCTCTTATTCTGGTTTTCCATTGAAACTTTGAATGTGCATACAAGCTGGACTTTACAATTTCACATCACTGCTTAATTTTTATTTCTGAGGATACATCTTTTCAAAAGTTAGTTCGGAACAAGAGTCACTTATAACTCTAAATCTAAAGATTCAGCTTTGTTGATAATCTTCATTTTTACTATAGGAATGATCATGAAAACATGTTCAAGCTGGCTATTTTGTATAACATGCTTGAAAATTGGTATCGTACAAATTGAGACATCTTTTCCAATTTGTATTTGATCCTAATTTTTATTAAAAGCAGTCATATTTTCTCATATCTTCTTCTAATTTCTATGACCACTGAATTTTTAAATTATTCTAATAATTTCATCAAAAAGCACCTTTTTAGCACAATTTTTAGCGTATTTTCTTTAAAAAAAGATGAGCCATTATTGTGGTAACTTATTCGTTTGTCTCTTTATATTTTCAGCGGATATTGTATCAATATCCTCTTCATCGTATCTCCTATTGTGCCGATGATAAGGGTGAAAAAAGGTTTTTCAGCTTTATTGCCAAAGAATCAGCAGAAAGTGAACAGCACACCTGTTTTGTGTTTGTCTCAGACAAACTTGCAGAAGAAATCACGCTCACGATAGGACAAGCTTTTGATTTAGCCTACAAGTAAGGACTTAACTTTTTTTTTCTCAATTGTATTTGTGTCTCACATCATGATTCCACTGAACAAAACTCTATGCCTTCTGTTTCGTTTTTGCACACAGGGTCCTCATATAGCCCATTCTTAAAGTACACAACGTGGTGGGAGGGAGGGGGGGGGCTCCTGAGTACTATGACCTTATAAAATCCAACTTTCAATGTGCCAATCTTGAGAAAAGGAGGGCTGAAAAATGAATATTTTGGTCTTTTTACAGACAATATCCTGTAGAATTTTGTAGGATCTTTATGGTGATCAAGGAGAGCTCTTGTTTTCTCGCTGGTTAAGAAAATAAAACAGAGAGTACACAGTAAAAATAAAATTCTTCCGAATGGTAATAGCAGAGTGTCCGCATATAATACATATATTATCACAGTCCCACATTGCTATTTAGAAAATGGGTATGAAAAGGTTGAAAAATGTACTTTTCAGCCTCGCTTTTCTTAAGATTGGCACATACTGATTTCAAATTTCATTGAAATTAGTAGAGGAATAACAAAAATGTGCACAATTTTAGGAATGCCAAATGAACATGGGATCTTATTTAGATTGACCATCCAAATAGACTTAAAGCTCCAATAAGGTTGAACATTTCAAAGAGGAAAGTGTGGCAGACCATTTTCTATCCTGAATATCTTGCTCAGAAATAATTTTTGAAGGTCAAATAGTTTGAATAATTACTATGCCCATTATTGCACATGTTGTAAAACTTGATCTCTAACTTTAACTTGAATTCAGACAGATTACATTGGTTCTCTTTTTGTATAACTGCAATGTCAATTGTCAGAGTGCTTCATTTGCCTCCTTTATAAATTAACTTGTAGTCTATCATCATGGAAATATATATTTTACTTGCTCTCATTTGTTTTAGACGGTTCCTTGAGTTAGAGGCAGAGAGGAAAGTAATGGTGCTATCCCAAAGAGTGAAGCGACTTGAAACAGAGAACTCAGCATTCCGGGAACGCCTATCTGATGTGATATCTTATTTGGTAAGTCTGTTTCAATTTTCATTGTCCTATGTTTGGTATAGCTTCAATAGGTACTGATTGTGAAGGATTGAAAAAGTATGATGCCTTTTAGATTTTACTCAAATAGACTTTCATTCACTAAGCCCATCCTCTAAAATAATGCTACACTATTTACATGTTGGGTGCAACAAGGGCACCCAACACTAAAGAGGTGCAAAGGGTAAGAGCTGCACAAAAGTGCAAGGACTTATCAAACAAGGGCACCTCTGAGGAAGTGCCTTTATCTCATGCATCATCCCAATAAATTCATCACCCACTGAAGTATACAAATAGGTACCAAATATGACTCAGATCAGAGCAAATTTATTCACAGGAAAACTTAAATGTGGAAAGCACAATGCATACCTATTTATGACAAGTCAGCGTCTGCGGAGGGAATTCAGTCATGACCACTGGAGACAGCTGGTCGCAACATAAGCAGCGCACCTAAAGTTTTTCTTGGTCATTTCAAAGCATGTGGCTCTTTTTATTAACTCATACATGAGAGTGAACCAAAGACTGAGTATTAAAATGACACATCATTTTTATGTATTGGCAGAAAAGTTCCAAGTAACAGACAATTGTTATATCTACAAAGAATGCCTCACTAACTATGCAAGCCAATACTCGGTAACTTTTGAGAGATAGATCTGAATAAACTAGCAGGGTTCCCACAGTGGATGATGACCTCCAGATTTCAAGATGGTAATTTTTTTATTAGTGTACAGTAGAGGGCAACTCAAAGGTAAATCAGAAGCATTTATCAGTTAACTAGTAGTGGTTTAATTTCTTAATTTTAATTTGTAATATTTTCTGTCACAGGAAGGGCACCCACAGTTACAAGAAGATCTCCAAAACTACATGAGACGCAACAATATCACAAACATGCTGGAAGTAAGCCAAAGCACCCCAAGTAACGAAACGAACAGCTCAATGTCATCACCACAAAATTCACAAAATGTTTCGCAGAATGGAACTCAGAATGGGTCGCAAAATGGCTCACAAAATGGTAAATGTGTTGATCAACCTTCTCAGTAATACAAGATGAACACATTTTGAAGACATAATTGTTCTTTTATCTCGTTGCTTGAATGGGAAAACAATAATATTCAGGAGTAATGCACCAATAGGCTAAAATTAAGACTTGATCATGAAGAATCTTTTCCCAAGATTTCAAGGCAGAATGATTTACAATTTTATTTTTTGTAAAATAAATTGAACATGAGAGGAAAGTAGGCAATCTTTGATGTAGTTAGACTAATTGGATTGCACTTTGCAATTAGTACCTACAAATTCTAACTTAGTTTAGGAATAACGTTTGTACTATTAGTTTTCCTGTGCATATAAGTGCTTTTACAAATGAGCCAGAAATTGTAGTTTCCAATTGCAAAATGTACTCCAATTCTGATTAAATACATTCATTTACTTTTAATCTGAACTCAATAATAAGCAGGAAAAATATTGAACATAGTGCCAACTTCTATGCAGTGAGTCTCTAATATTAATTTACCATAGAGCTTTTAAACAATGAAAGGCCTATCACTTGCATGTCCTCTCATTATTGAGAAACCATCAGTATTTGAAAAAACAACATTATTTCAGAGATCGGTTTGACTCTGGTGTCAGTCAAAATGATCAGTGAATTAGTAGTGCAAACTGAGACATCTACTGTAAATTATGAATTTTAATGTGCCAATCAACACGGTGTATAAATTGTCAAAGGGTTTTGAAACTATGAACCATCAGACAGGTTGCGATTTCATTATTTTGATACATTTTTCAAGGTAGAATACAATTTTTGCAACAAAAATTAATTGAAAGTAAACTCTGACCATGATATTAATGTTTTCTATGCACAAATTCGGATTTCTTGCCCACAAAAAAAGCCGTATCCTATACTCGAGTTAAAATGCACACTAAACATTAGGCTAACAGTCTCTGCGGTATGAAAATATGACAACCTCAAACTCGGCACTTTACTTAGCTTTTGTGTGTTGTTAACACTTTGAGCAACACAGGGCGGGGAAGGAACACTGCTTGATTAAAAAGTGAACAAAGAAATGAAGAATCTGCTAATATCAAATTGGCACGTGATTTGATTCTTGTAGACTCTGTTTTTCTTGTGAGTGAAAATTTCGAAGTGTTCGTCACCACTTCTGAATAAAAAAGGTAATATCTTGGTTAGGAGTTTATCAAGTAATTTTTGTTGCACAAAAGTTTATTTTACATAACACTTTTAAGAGGACACATATGGACGGTGTAAGTCAGCAACCACATATTTCGGTTTGCAACGTTGCAGACTTCCTGTCATACTTTATTTTTCAAATGAAAAACTACTCAACGGCAATTCCTAAAAACTGCCATGATTTTTTCTTAGTGCCCAGAATATTCTGCCTAAACTTCAAGAAATGATTCAATTTGTTCTCCTTTAAGAAAATAAAATAGGAGCGGAGATGTTCAAATACCGCAAATGAGATATGTGGTTTTGGAATTACGCGATCAATGTGTATATTAGAGCGTCTAAATTTGTACCTTGTCTTGCAGTCCATTCATTTAATTTCCAGTGCTTTCTAAGTTGATGTAATGTGTTTTTTTTCGGTTTTATAGGTTACTTGTTGTTGCTCAACTTCAATGACTCAAATAATCAGACTTCTCCTCCTCCTGTTCCACCCAGAGCTTTCCAGAATCAGCCTTTCGAACAAAATGATTTGATCAGGTATATATCTTAAATTTTATTTACTGCACTGCATTTCTCTGTCCCATCTTGATCTCCTCATGAGAAGAAGGAGTTGACAAACTTTTCGAATAAAGAAAATTATACCCTTTTACCCATAATAATACAAATAAAATTGAAGATACTCAAAGAATACAGCCCAGAAAAATTTAGGAACATTAAGATGTGTTGAACTTTAGTACAAACTTTCTCCATGTTAAAAAAAAAATATAAAGAATGAATACTAAGAATGATTACATTATGCTTCAATGATGTTCAACTCAGAAGCGAAGAAGATAAACTTCATCAAAATGATTACGAATGTCAATAAAAAGAGTGAACAGGGAGTTTTGCAAGAAATGAAGGAGTGCCTGCTCCGTGAATGGCTTCGGTGGTTAGGTGTTGTGGAGCGCTAAAAAGCGCTCTGAAAGGGGCTTTTATGTATGCATATCACTTGTCCTCCAATTCCAAGACAAATGACACATTCAGAGCCTAGAATCACTACCGTAGGAGAAAGGCTGTCAGAATTATGGAACTTGAACGCAGACTGTCCAGAAATATGTATCAGAAGAAAAGAGACGACATGCTTTTGAATTGTACAACCCAATTATAGACTGTTGAATTTCTTGCATACAATTTTATTTTTTACAACATCTGAAAAATTGAATATGATCATTTTAGGACAGATGCATAAAAAATGTAGCCCTAGAGGACTGTGCAAGGAATACGAAGAAACTTAGAGCCAGCTGAATTTTGATCCCATTCTCTTTACCACCTCCAAATCACAATAAATTAATTGTTGAAATCGAACTTCACATCTGCTAATGTTGAGAAAAGCAAGGCTGAAACATAAATCTGCATTCTTATATGCACTTTCTATTGAAAATGTGGGTCTGTTAGGGTGTGTGTTTTGAGACACAGCGCTGCACACTGTTATCATTTGTAAGAATTGAATTCTTTGTGTCCATCTTATCTGCCCGGCCAGCAAGGAAACAAAAGCCTTTTATACAAACAATAAGCTTTCTTGTAATGCATTGCCCCCTAAGATGATAAAATCCTGTCCCTCTCCTTCTTTTATTAGCGTTCTATTTCAACCTTTTTCAATGATATTGGTTTTGATGAAAGGTTGAATTAGTTAAAAATATTACCTTGAGTGTACCTTAAGGGTACCGTATCGATTCTCTCACATGTATAAGTTGTATTTCCTTTATTGATGATTTTTTAAATCTGTTTTTTTTATCTGCAGCAATAATAATTTTGAGCCAGCTGTTGGCACCAAACTTGAGGGACTATTACTCGATGAATTAGATGACGATTTCAATCCTCGAGCATATGAAACAGTAGGTGACTCCTCTGCAGCTCAAAACCAAACTGGTTTCACATCAAACGGCAATCTTCACTCTCCACCTCCATTATGTAAGTTCTGGTCTTGAACCTCGGGTTTTTTTGTTGTTTTTTTTTTTTCACCATTAAGGGCTTTATGCAAGTCAATGCCGGACATTCTTCACATGAATATTTCATGGACAATGGAACTGTTGCAAACTTCAATTAGAACAAAAAGAAGAGTCGTTTTCTACAGAAAATAATTCAATAATCACAATGAGCGCATCAAAAAAATCTGAAATACACTCCTAACTTCACAATCTGCGCAAGAGATATGCACTTTTTTAAGCTCCCTGCTTGCAAAACGATACTACAACATTTCGTAAGAGACTTCGTCCATCAAACCCCTGCTCACTAAGATGCTACACAACATTCAACATGGCTGACGCTTCCTGATGCACTCATTGTGATTTTTGAGTCATGTTCTATGAGGAACTACTCTTCTGTTTGAGCTAGCTGAAGTTTGTAACAGGCCCATTTGGGGATAAATTAATTAATTTTATCCATGACATTACACAACTTGTATCTTGATTGTACTGTGTCAACATTGCCTCTTCTATAGGTATTATTTTCTCGAAGGGTAATGGGTTAACTTTATGCCTTGAGTCGACATAGAATACCGTTTAAAAGGAGGAAAGTGTTCAGAAAGTGCCCAAGAAAAGTTTTTGAGATGGATCTGTGAGCCTGACCTCGACCTGGCACGCAACAAAGTGTCAAAACTTCATCAAAATGGCTCGAAGAAACAATCACTGCAAAGGTGGAGGTTTTTGTTTCAGGGGAAAACATGTATGAACAAGTTTAATAAATGGATCTATTATAGAAGTTGAGCTTTTACTATTGCTCGTAGTTCCTTTTGAATGGTTGCTTTTGAAAATGTATTTAATTATCGATTATGTAATTTCTTGTATTATTTCAGTGGCTCCTCCGCCGAAAACAAACCGAGACACAGCTCGAAGATCAAACCCACCCAACAATTTCTCTAAGAACAACATCAATGGTGCATCCATGAATGGTGGAAGTGAGGATGTCTTTGGGCTTACACCATTCAACAACAATAAGATGAGCTCTGCATCATTAGATCCTTTTGGAATGGCTGATTTCTCAAACCAAGATACTGCAAGCAATGGAACTTCACAGCACAACGATATGGACAGCGCTATGTCTCTGCTCGACAAGAGAATCTTAGAAATGAAGGTAAATCTTTAGTACTTGTATCTATTAATCGTAATCTAATTAATCTTTGTTTAAATGTTCACTCAGAAAACGCGTAGCTCTTTTGAGAACGATTTGATAGTTGATCCATCAATTGATAATTTCTAGATTTTGAGGCATTTTTTCTGATATTGCCGAGCGTCACACATGCTGTAGTGCGTCAGGTATTTGTACCCAAGATTTGACTCAGGAACACTTTGAAATAACTGGCATAACTTTTGAGGTACTTCTTGAGTAATTACCGTCAATCGTTTTGCCTTCCGATTTGTGATATTCACTCAGGGTGTCTTTTTGAAATTATTTCAAAGGAACTTCTTGGTCAAATCTTGTTTACAAATACCTGGCGCACTGAAGCACATTTCATACTTATAAGACGCTTGGAAAATTGTCGGGAAAAATCCTGAAGTCCAGAAATTACAAGGGTCATCTAAAATGTAGTGCACCGCATAGTTCCTTAAGAACAAAAAATGACACATCTTTGTAAAAATACTGTAACTCTCCACGTTTAGAGCCCTCAAAAAAATCCAAATTTTTGAAATTAGCACCAGCTGTTTGTGAGAAAATAAACTCTTATGTGGGAAAATCCTGACGAGCTCTGGTCACTAGATAAGGGACCCATTACTCACTCTTTCAGGAAGTTGCACTTTACCACTAAAATTTCTGCAATGTTTGATTGTTCAATTTCAATACCCAGAGGTAAAAAATCGTAAATTGTGTCAATTGTCCGTTGTTGGCCCTCTTCAAAAATGTTAGGACCGTCAGCACTTACAAAACTGTCTCCTACAGAGTGACTATAGTGACAGCCAAAACCAATGTTCATCACGCATGCTTTCATGCTCTCTCAAAAGAGCTTCCTTTGTTTAGGTATACACATTTTGAACATGTATGTGCGCATCATCTTTGTAAGTAAATAATGATGAATACTGGTACTTTTTTCATTATGGCAGCAAAAAGACAAGTTGATCACTGAATTTCCCATTTAGCAATGTTTTGCAACAGCAATCCTATGATGACATGAACAACGTTGACCCATATTGACCCAATAACCATGAAATCGTGATGGAACCTTTCAGGTTTTCCCTCAAATTCAATGTGTTTAATGAGAATATGGCATGGCCCCTTGCCTTTCAAAATTCGTCTTATGTTTTTTGCTTCACTTTTTGTAGGATGGATTCAGCCGAGGTCTATCTATGTGCACAGAAGACTTCTCGATTGAGAGTTTGGACCCTCTCCGGAAGTGATCCCAATATCCTACTGGCGTTTTTGAACAGCTCTACTTAGAGTATATGTATTTTCTGCATCACATTCCTCCAGGATAGAAAAGCATCTGACGGTATGTTCCTGTATGAGTGAAATCCTTTCATACATGAATTCATCCCAGTAAAACCGTTAAATTTGTGAAAATGAAAAAGTACCTGTGCTGGAAGTAACTTGGAAGGCATTAGTAATTTTTAAGGTTTCAACTTGAAAGCAATGAACGCTATGTAAACTGTAGTTTTTTTAAACATGATTTTTTACACTTGGTTTGCTGTAGTTGTATTTTTCAACCATATTTGGTTACTTCTTGCAGTTTTCAAAATTATGTCAAAAATGCAACTATGTGATGCTCCATTCACCATTCTAATTTTTTTCCTCTTGTATATTAATTTTTGCTGTGCCTTTTTAAACTCTTCTAATTTCAAACCATTACATCACTGATTTTTTGTTGTTTTTAAGAGTTTATTTCTTTTCAATTGTATCTATGTGTATGTATGTAACCGCTGTGCTTTCTCTTTCCAATTACCTGAGGCGGATGTTTATTCTCGATCAGATTCATCCAAAGCAACTGTATTGAAGAAATTACCAAGTTCGCATAATCAAACGGAAATGGACTGATCATAATTAGATTTTTTCTTCCGCCCCTATTGCTGAAACTAAGTTTTTGAGGTCTTGTTTTAACTGTTCAGCAGTAAGTTTTATGGAAAGTACATGTATGGCCTCATAACCTGTATATTTTAAAAACCCGCCTCTCTCAAAACTGAGTTTTCTACTTCCAGTCAATTGATACTTGACTGAGGTTTTGCACATTTTGACGAGTTGCAGATTCGCTAGTTTTGTGCTTTCTGTGAATGGTTCCTTTAAGTTACTCAGACCATAGAACAGTTAACTTGACTTTTTCTTTACCCAGTTTTGTTATCATTTGAGTACTGGCCCAATTAGTTCTAGATTATAACTTTTTGCTCATCACACCAAAAAATGAAAGGAAAAAAGTCATCATGCTTTCAAAGTAAATAGTTTTAATATCAAGCAGTTAATCCGCTCTTCCGGAGGAAAACTTCATTTCGTTTTATGGAAAAAACATCGCTCAAAAAGCTCTGAAAAATTCAAGATTCTAATGTGACCCCTGCAGTTAAAAAATTGTTGAACACACATACAGTTTAAACAGGATTTTTTTAATATTGTGCTAGTGTTTAGTGTTTGTGTAGTGCTTTTTGTCTTAAAATATCACGCGCATTTAAAAGCAAACTGAAGGAGAGAAAAGAAAGAGCTACCCAGCGTGTATCTGAGAGACCCAGTAATCTGAATCTAATGCTAACAGTGAATGAAAGTAGTATTTAAGTAAAATAAAACTCTTGCAGAAAATTCAGAGTATGAGATATGAACGAAAATTAGGGATGAATAAAATAATTTTATTCCCATCCTTGTTCAATTATGAACACATTTTGACTAGAATATGTGAATTCACATTAAACAGGGAACTTTTTGCAGCTGTTGGAAGCAACAACAATTGAATGGAAGTTTGCTGAGTGGAAATGGCAATACTGATTGGTATGAAAATTATGAAATTCCGTACTAGGACTACAATATCGGCATATTATGCCAAGTTCTTTTGCTGTCGCATAACATGTAAATATTAGGCTAGCAAGCTCATTAAATTCATACTCCTTTGTATAATGTTATTTTCCTGCCTTGTTATTACTACTAATAGGGTCTATGAAGTTTGTAAATAAATATTTTAAGACCTTAATCAATATTTCTCTTATTCTCAATCGAAGTTAGCGTTGATATATAGTTACATCAAAGATTCGGATTTTTATATATTGTATGAAATAAACCTCGATTAAACTGGCACTTACGTGAGACTGATTTTTTAAACTGCACTGAGCAGGCTATCTACTATACTGGCAAGTTAAGGAAAAATGCTGTTTTAACATTCGAGATTAGCTAAATTTCCTCCAATGAAATGCTTATTTTTCAGGAGAGTTATGAATATTTTTTCTTGGAATTAACAGATAATGTAGATCTGATTGCAAATTAAATTCTCTGAAAAATTGGAGGAGAAATATTTAGATTTTCCTGATGAATTATCATTCATATTCAATCAAAGGAAATTTGGTAACGTCTCAAGGCTCAAACGGCGTTCTTCCCTGGCACTGCAGTTTGTCCTTCCCCTGTAAATCACATTCTTGACTCAGTGTGTCACATCATGAATTCAGAGGTGTTCCTTTTGACCTAGGCTTCCTCGCAAAAAACCAGTTTTTAACTGTAGAAAATTCCAAATGAAATCACATGTCTCTAAAAAAATTGCATGAAACACCTTCCCATTTTACAACTTACATTTCTCGACAGTGTGATTTCAAGAGAAGCTGAAATATTTTAATTTTATCCTTTTATTCAGGTGAATATAACATTAGAATGCTATATTCGTCATTGTTATATTGCTAAACCAATCTCCTATAAATATCTGCTCTATTGTAAAAGTTAGGTAGTAGCTGTAGTCATAATGCATTTTAAAAAACGAAATAAAAGACATATCCGTGATAAGGAACTGCTTCCATGATTTGTGTCGCAATTTTTTATGTATACATATTTTGTATGAACCTTCTATTCAATCTTTATTTTACACAGTTTTTGTTTATACATTTTTTGTCTATCATGTTGATGATTATAAATGATTTTATAGATCTTGTTAATTGATGGTTATATTTACACTGTTTTTGAATGTTGAATTAACATTCTAAGTGAATGTATTCAATGTGTCGGTGCAAATGATTGTGCAAATTTTTCAGCTTTCGTAGACGGAGCGAAGTTAATTTTTCTGTACTGTGTAAAGATATTGTTATATTGAGATTATTTTGTTTATTAATGATTGATTGATAAAATAAAGAAATTCTGTAAATCGTGTTTTCCTCTTTGTTTTTCTAACTCTCCCTCCTTTCACAACTTAAAGTGAAAATATTCGATTTATTAAAAAAGCCCATGCTTTTAGGTGAAGAAGGCAATTAAAAGAAAATTCTAATTTTATAAATATCGAAAAATCTTGTAATTAATTAATGACTGGGTACTTTTTTATGATACCAATAAATTTAACGTTGCATCCTAGTTATCTTTTTACGCCTAAATTATTATCTTCACTCAAAACAGGAAGTGAATTTTTGTGAAAATGGTAAAATATGTTTTTCTTACCCTCTAATGTGAACTTAATTCAAAATGGATTTTACAGATCCTGTAAAAATATATAATTTGATTTATTTTTACAATCTGTAATTCATAATCCATTGTATGTTGGCCTTAATGGAAGTAGGTGAGGTGTGTTTAGTGAATTTCGTTTTCTCTTTCTCTCTTTTTGTGGTGAAACTATTGAAGCTTTTTTTATTCACATTTTTCTTTCAATTTAAGGCTCCACACATTAATGTCTAAGCAATACTTAACATTCCATACCTAAGTATTTGTAGAAATTAAAATGCATACAAAACTACTACGTCCAATATCCATGCTTAGACTTAATTTTATTCCTTGGATGGAAAACGAGGCAACTTTATTGGTAGAAGTTTTCACTGAAAATTCCGCCAGTAGAGAGGAAAATAATCTTGAAAATTTTAGAGCTACTACAATGAGAAGTTCTCCAATTAAGAGATTAACTAAGTACTGATGCACTTAAGATGAGAAGTCTGTGATGTTCCAAGCGTGAAGTCCAAGATGTGGTCTCTAAGTTTATAGCCATCTATATGTTTGCCCTCGAGTCTCGTTTCTTGATGCCAAGCAAAGATATGTCCTCCCAACCTTACCTTACTTAACTGAAAAAAAGAGCTGAATATCATTCATGACTTCAATTTCCCAACAATGTACCCACCCAGGTACCTGTCGATTTGGCTTCGAAAATTTTCTCTTTCACAATGGTGTGATGGTGTGTGGTCATTTTTTTAATGGAGGAAAAGTTTTGGCTCTTAATTCCATTCAGCTGTCACTTAATGACCTCATTCAATGAATATACTTATTTTTCTTGCATTGGCACCACTTAAACCTTTTAAATAATCTAATTTCCAGTCTGAATATGAATAAAACTTCCTTATGATACATCTCATCAATTTTAATACATAGGTGGGTAATTATGTAGCCAAAGTGCTAAAAAATGTGCAAGAATCATCTTGCATAAAAACTGTTTAATTCAACCATCATTTTTACTTTTTATAATTTAATTTCCTACTTAATCAACAAAATTCCCACCTAAGTTGTTATCATTGAATGAGAAATGTATTTAAAAATAATATTCTGACTCTAAAGGTTCTAAAGATGGCAATTGTGCCGGGGAGCCTCAACCGAAAATTATAATTGAATAAAATGGTTTTTATGTAAGTTAATTCTTGCACAATTTTTAGCATTTTGGCTAAATACCCACCTGTCAAGTTAATTATGTGCTACAACCAATATGTTACAAATCAATGATCTCATCAATGCTAGTTGATAATGAGTGAGAACCGATAGTTTCGCTTTTGACTGGAATTTCTCAATAAATGGCAATAGGAGGTCCACAATAATTTACCAATCCGTCATTTTAAATTTGGTTCCAAAAATGTTATCAAAAGTGCGGGAACGATTGGACCAATCGAATTTAAGCGCAGAAACCATATGCTTTACACGTGTGGCAACTCGCAACAGCCACAAGGACCGGCGGAGGCTGGAGTGCAACGATCGTCAATGACTAAATGAGAGAGGCAGAGAGACTTTATGGCTCTTTATCTGGAATATATCTTTTCAGCAGAGAGAGAATGGTAGAGAGGCGTGGGCCATTCTCTCGAATAACATTCGGAGAGTGACAGAGCGAGTCAGTCCAGTGCGCAACTCGCCAAGAGTAGGTTGGGAAGCCGCAGTGTGCTCTTGCGTCGCGTGATTACGTTGATGTTGTGATAAGGTCGTCAGTAGTGCAGCAGTAATCGGTCGAGGCTGAGGCGGAATTTAAGGTTAGGATTCGGACAAAATTATCACAAGTCTCCGTAATTTTCGTGGTCATTCCTTAATTTTTCGCTCGATCGAATCAGCATGTCGTCTAGAGCCAAGTTCAAATATTCGCTTGTGATTTGAAAACAGCTGGTTAGCTTCCTGCAGCACTCTCGCGTTCGGAACTCGTGTTTAGTATCAAAATCCTCTACTTAAAGTTACCTACTCTAAGACTGAAATTATTTGTGCGTGGATAATTTTCGATTCTACTTAAAATATTGTTCTTCCGTCAGGCTGATCTGTCTGTCGTAATCGTGTGTTCACAAGAGTTTCATTCCAGTTATCATCTTATCACTGACGAAATTCAGTAATCTCCCATTGTTTACATCCCAAGTTGCATTTGTTTTGGAGCTGATACCAAGAAATTGCACCGTGCTCGGTTTCTGAATTCTAATTCTGTTAAAATATTCACTTTCTGCTGCTATCTACCTTCTCTGCAGTTTCTCGTATGATCAAATTATCAGTTTCCTCTTAGTTTTTGGACTGTCAACTTGTAGAAATAGTTTGTGCTGTGATTTTCATTGGAGCCAAACGACTGATTATCTCACATGGTTGTAGATTTTTCATCTACAGCTCCGTCTATTGGTTAATTTGTAAGGTGGTAGGTGTTGTTTTTATCACACGGTGTGTAGCCTGTCAAATCTCATCATAAATTTTGAGGAGTGCGTCCTCCCTTCCAATTATAAACACCGGTCTGAAAATGCGGTTTTTCAGTTTAAAATGGCGATTCGTTTGCGTGTGTGTACTTTTAATTCTGACAATAAGTTGTGCTACAAGAACTCGTCCAATGTACATGAACCAATTTGCGGTGCAGCTTGCTGAAGGTGGACATGAAGACGCCAACGTCATAGCTGATAAACATGGCTTCAGAAACTTAGGACAGGTAATTCAAGTTTTCTTATCTTAACATTTATCTGCCACTTTCAATGTGATTAACCTTACTGAAATCTACTCATGGAAAGCTCTTTCAGAAGGCAATCTCTCTGCAAATGCTTAGCTTCATGAATGTACCTTTATCAATAAATTTGCTGTCCAAGTATTCACAGAACGTGCAGCTTACTAACAGTTGCGTTGATATTACAGCAGCCAATACCAAGACTCATCCTTTTTCCTTTACCTATGAAACTAAGTCTTGAGAGCTTGAGTGTAGGAGAGCAGGGGAGAAATTAAGAAAATTCTAAAGTTCAAGACTTGATCACTTTCTATTACTGAAACCTGACACGCACAAATATAACACAAGATGGGAGACATAAACTGGAAAGAAAACTAGATAGAATTGAGAAACGCTAAAGAGCTGTGAGCGTTATTTGAGGGTCAAAGGTGTTGGGCGACTTGCGAGAGAGGTATAACGTAACGCTTGAGGTTCTAGAGATGGTTAAAAGATCTAGAGCTTAGGCTGCTCAGTTTTTTTATAGGGAGGCTTGTGTCGAGTAATCATTTGATTTCCATCAGTTGATTGGCCTTGGTTGTCTCTAATCTTGTCGATCAAATCATCATAATTTTGGTGAGAATTACTGAGATCAAGGAGTGAATGAACCAAAAGATCAATACTAAGCACAAGCTTCTGTATATTCTTCTCCAATTTCCTTTAAAAAGTCCTGATCATTTCAAAGACAATTTTTTTCTCTTTTTAACTTTATAATAGGTACCTAGGCAATACTGCTTTATTGGCACCCATGTGATAATAAGTATTTATTTTTGTTTAACAATTATTTTTTCCCTACTTTTTAAAAGGGATAGATGCAGGTAGTTGTGGGGGGGGGTGAGGGTCTCAAACTGCATAACTAAAATATTCTATCCTATAAATTAAAATAATTCACATTTGACATCCAAAGCTGTGAAAAAAACTTTCACCCATTATGTGTAAAATATTTAATACTGAAAAATTATAAGCTTCAGGAATGATTTTCTTCTGTTTATGATTCTGACAAGTCTTAATCTTCGGTTTCCCATATTTGTCCTCATTTTGCCATCCTTCAAAACCTTATAAAATTGTTGCAAAAACCACTTATTTTTATCCTGTTTAAAGAATTGTTAAGAAAGTAGGAAGAAGATTTGAACAAACTGTACCTAGGTACTCTTAGTATTATAAAATCGTGTGGACTTACCTGTCATTTATTCACTCAAAATAACCTTGATTATTAGACCAAAAATTTTTTTATAAGTTAAAAAGAAATGATGAAATTTCAACTTTTTTTCTTTTTTTTTTCTTGGAGGATGACAATACTTCCTCTCTACCCTAGGGGAGCGAGAAAGTAAAAATACTCATGCTGTTATATTTTAAATGCGCTGCTCTCATCATGTGTCTGTATGGGTCATGAGATTATGAGATCAAATTTCAATAAAAAAATAAAACTTTAGAATGAAAAGTCCAATTGTCTCACAATCTATGTACCGATTTAATATTTTTAAACAGAGGAGCGATTTCTTGTGCCTACCAGTGAGATCAAGCAGATTCGTACGAAATTTTTTTTCGAGTGTAGTGATGCGTCAAGGATTTACCAAATTCGAGCCTTTGAAATTCCTCTTAAAAAAAAAAAAAAAAAAAAAAAAAAAAAGAGCAAGGTTTCGTTTTTAGGTATGTAGGCGCTGCACTCTGGTTTTCTCTTTGTTGGTTTGCGCGGTCATTGACCCCAGCTTCCGGCTTCGCTTTTTCGACCGATACCGATCCTATTTTCCAAGGAGGGATCCCTTAGGCTTGGCTGTACAAAATTTCAATTAATATGTTTAAACACAAATAAGTAGGTACGTAATGAAAGAAAGACTTGAGAAGAAAAATGTACTTTATTTTTATCAACGCCTTTGCCAGGATTTCATGAGAGAACTTTAGGCCGGCTTCCTTAATTTAAATACTCCACTCCATAATTGATTTGATTTGTCATGAACTCCACTGAACTCCGTTGGTGAGGCTGTTAGTGCCTGAAACTAAAACGCCTTCACCTTTGTGCGTATGCAACACGGACATCCATAGAGCTCGAATAGCTGTATCCAGGCGTTAAAATAAAATTCGTTTAGTGTCCCTGTCCGTCACATGCGGCACTAAATAAACCTTTGATTGTTCTGAAACCTGCAAGTAATTCCAACGTTGCCTCTTGTGCCGATGAAGTAAAATCACTGATTGTTATCGCCACATTGTCAGTTTTCCTTGAAATTCATTATTTAAATATATTACAACGCTGTTGCTGGCCCTTAAAATCGCAAAAAATGAGGGTGATTTGTAGAGTTTGCTTTCACCTTCCTAAATAAATCGTGCATTGTTTGGATTTTGTTTGTTTTTGCTTTCTTCGGGAAAACTAATTTTGAAGTTCAAGTGCGAAATTTGCCAAGAACAATCCCGATGATTCGCACGGACTTTGAAACGAAACGATGACTATTTGTCTCTAGGAAAAATGAAATGAATAAAGTTGGAAAAAGAAGAGAAAAAGAATAAGAGGGAGAAGAAGATAACAGTAGAGAGGAGTGAAAATGGGGAATCTCTGAGAAATTAATTTTATCGTGAAAAAATACGAGAAATTTTGGTGCTACCACGGTTGGCGCCCCACACATCACGCAAGTGTGTTTTTGTGCCCCTCTACACTATCGTGCAAAGGAAGAACGTCGTATGAACGACGTTCTTCCTTATGTACGTTCTTGCTCATGCTATGTTCATGTTGCTTAACATGTATTTTTTAGGAAAGTTGTGCATATTTTTCTTTGAAATTTTCAGGTATTTTGGATCAAATCGGAAGCCACTTTGTCTGTAAAATTCGAGGAAAAATACTCAGAATTTTCCTAGGAAATCCGTTTTTTAACAAAGAAATCATGGCAACGCCTGAATGCGCCGTATGAACCCTCAGACGCTGCCAAGTTTCCTCCGATAAAAACCGAATTTACCGGAAAAATTCTGAACATTATTCTCCGAAATTTTCAGACAATTTCGTACGCAATTTAATCTAAGATATCTGAAAATTTAGAGGGAAAATAAGCGAAAATTGCGTCAAAAATACATGTTTTATCGAGGGGAATTTGGCAACTCTCGAATGTTCATACGGCGTTCTTCCTTAGCAAAGCAGTATAGGCCTGATGCTTCGGGGCCGAAACCCGAAGCTGGGAAAATGATGAAACCGCGCGAAGAACGGTCCGAAGCGCGGATGAGCACGAGCGGCTTCAATTATCCGCACTAACATCGCGCCCNGGGGGGGGGGGGGGGGGGGCGTAATTTATGGTTTTAAGGAACGACCGAAAGAGACCCTGATCCTATTCTTCGGATCCGCTCGTTAAGACATCTCGACGCCCGACACACTGCCATAATGACACTCTTATGTCACCGACGACGCCGCCGCACCAGCTCCTTGTCCTCATTAGTCAAATGATTTTTCGAGTCCGCGCCCGCCCGGCCCCGCTCGCGTTTCGAAAGAGCCCGCTCTGGGAAGAGTCCCGGCCCGGCAATGGGTCAATGTCACCCGCGGAAAAATTCAAACGCTTTTGCCCAACTCAGAGCTTGGAACCAGAAAAAATGCACTCCATTGCATAAACGGATCCAGACACTTCGATTGGGGGGGGGGGGGGGGGGCTTCCGCCTAGCCCCGGAAAATTTTCGAAATTTTAAAACACCCGCGGTATTCAGTTCGAATCGATTTTGTCTTGAATCAAATGGGTCAATGCCACCCACAGAAAAATTCAAACGCTTTTGCCGAACTCAGAGCTTGGGGCCAGAAAAAATGCACTCCATCACATAAACGGATCCAGACACTTCGATTGGGGGGGGGGGGGGGGGGGGG